ATATATATATATATATATACTATATATATATATATATATATATATATATATATATATATATATATATATATACAGAGAGTGTTTATATATATATATATATATATATATATATATATATATATATATATATATATATATATATATATATATATATATATATATATATATATATATATATATATATATTTAGTGACACTGGCTCACTGGGCGTCGTATTGACATTGACAAAATAAAAATGGCGGATTTCATAAAACAGAGAGTGTTTTATGAAATAAGAATAAAAATCAGATTTATCGATAAAAGACTTCATATTTAAAAGCATATAGCATCTTATATCCACCATATTAACTCAGTCATTGCTATTTTTTATTTAAGAACATTCAGTTTCTTTCTTTTGTGTATGTATGTTTCACTAAAGCTAATTCCAGGACATCAGTAAAAAAGGTTTCTTTTATTTTTCAGCAAACAACTTCAAGCTGTATCCTTTGTATAACAACCCTATTTATATCCCCCTTGTATCTTTCCAGAGTTCAAAATGTAAGCCTGTAAATTTAGATTTATTATTTCTTTAATATGAGACATGAGATATTTTTAAATCGACTTCCTTACAGCTCTGTGATATTTCTAGACGATCTGGCTGTTAAAGAAAAACATTATAGTAGTTAGATCCATATTTCATAGTAGTAGTGTTTAGATCCAATATGAAACTATTTTAAACCCAAACCCAAACTGGCTAAATAACATTTTTATTTTTTCGGATAAAAAACAAAATTTTAGTTTTCCAATAATTATTAGTTTCGGCCACTTTATGCTTAGACGGAAATGCCAACAACTTTTGATTTTTAAATGGTACCCTCGGCTTATTATAACTCTATTTGATAAAAAATCACATTTAAATGTTCTTCTAAACTATATTAGGGTTTCCTATACCTATCTAGCTCAGATTTTGAACAAAAAGCGATTTTTCAATAAAATTGTAATCAAGATGGCTGGTGTCGCCATGGCAATTTGCTAGTGACAGTAGCTATTTTCAAAATCGACATTAGTTTATGGACTTTATTTAAATTTATAACAGTTTACTTCTATTTAATTTACCTACAATAGTTTAATAAGTAAGTATTTATTATTTTATGAAGAAAAATAAAGAAGTAGTTCTTTTTGATTTATATTAGGATGACTTGTAGATATATTGGATTTTCAATAAAAAATTAAGGCAAATTCATTTTCTTCACTTCCAATGACAGGTTGCTGCCTAATATTCATATACCACTACCAGCTCTGTGAAATAGGAAAAGTTGTTTTTCAAAGGAACGTTTGTCAAAAAAATTCCTATTTGGGTATTTTTGAGCATAAACCCTTCAGGCTAACAAGCAATTGTCCTCACAAAATAAAATCACTAGCATATCCATTCCTTCTATCAGCAGATACTGCTTCATTTTTCTTGATAAAATAATAAATACTTACTTAATAACCTTATTGTAGATAAATAAAAATAGCCTGTTATAAATTTAAATAAAGTCCATAAACTAATGTCGATTTTGAAAATAGCTAGGTACTAAGTGTCACTAGAGAATTGCCATGGCGACACCAGCCATCTTGATTACAATTTTATTGAAAAATCGCTTTTTATTCAAAATCTGAGCTAAATATGTATAGGAAACCCTAATATATTTTGAAAGAGCATTTAAATCTACTTCGACTTATTTAAAAAAGTATAGAGTGTTGCATTTGAAATAACGAAGTTTTAATGTAAAATAAATATTTAAAATAGACCAACAATTTTTGATACCCCTGTATAGATTTAAGGAAGCAATCAAGTTTATTAGTAAAGTTTATTTCTCTGGCTTGAAAGTGAGCATAAGAATTAATTCTGAAAAGTAATGTACGAGGTGTTGACAAACTATAAAAAATTTATATAATATTTTGTAGAAACTGTAATTTTTGTAGAAACTTAAAATTACTGTGAATTTATAAATAAACACGCAGAATGTGGGTATAGTAGGAAGTGGCAACATTGCACTCTCTCCGAGATTCTCTCTATGCACGGTAAACGAATTTCCGAAGAGTGAACAGTGGCACTCAAAAGTTTTTCAAAATTTTCCGGAGAAGTCAAGTAAAATATAAAATTTTCAACATTTCTTTTTCGCAAAAAAACCTCATAGACGTGTTTCTAGGGTTGAGGTTGAACTATACTACCAGTTAAAATACTTGCACTCATTTCGGGGACACCCTGTATATCTTAAAAAAATACATATCTTTTTCATATGAATAACTATCGGAATAACATAAACAAGGAAGTTATAGTTATTATATAACAAACAACATTCATTACCTAAAACAACAAAAAAACCTAGCGATGTAAAAAACGGCGCCAATGTACCTTCGAAATTCGAAATGATAAATCAATGACATTTGCCATTTAATTTTACATATAAATTGACAAAAAGCTTTATTTAGATCCAAGCCAAATCTGAGTAATTTACGAGGTAATTTATAATACATTTGGAACAGTGCAGTGTTTGGAACAAAGGCAAAATATTTTGCCTTTTGTGAATTATGTATATTTAACTTACAATGTCTAGAAAATAATGTTTTTTAAAAAATTAAGGCACCAAAACGTGGTTGGATCTTCGTCTTTTACATTTATTTTTACGAATTATGAAAATTGGGTAAGATGTTTGTTGATAAATAATTATTTTTAAAATTTCCTCACTTCTATTTTCTTCAAATGTTAAATATCTACAACCACAGCCCACATATTTCTTTAAACATTCCATTAAAAAGCGGGGTAGGAAACTTTAACAGCAAAAACAAACTGAAAATATAGAGAAAGCATTGATGTAATTTTAGTTGCCTACCTTGCGACTTGCGATTCCGTTAATTTATTATTTAAATATAATATTATTTATTATATTATACTTAGCTTAGATTTTTGCAATAAATTTGTTTTTATGTACGTCTCTCCTTATGGGAATTATAAATAAAACTATTATATTATAGGTACATTAACCCAAAAGTTCAAAATATGTTAAATATAAAAAATGTCTTTTTAGAATTTAAATAAAAGTTCTCTTTGAGAAGAAAAGTAATTATTTATATACCTATGTACTTTCTATATTATTTTCATTAATAATGAAATAGAAAGAAAGTATAAATATATATTTTTTTAAATTTAACATAATTATTAGATTTCACCAGTACGTATGGTAATGATTTTCATAAGATGATTAATAGGTATTTAAGACATTGTATTTTTAAATGTACAAAATTCTGACTTCTTCATATAATATAAAAATCAAAAATGTTGGTAGGTACATGAAAGATTCAATGCGCCAAATACATAATAAATGTTTATACAAAAGCACATTAACATACTACTTATTTATTTAAAATTGCTACATCATGTTAATTTGATAAATCCCTATATGTATGAACCAGGAAATTGTGGTTTTATAAAGTTTCATTTACTATTATACTTTTCATAAATTTTGATAACAACTAGGTTCTAGATTAGAAACTGAATTTCGCTTTCTGACACATTACCATACTTATATTTCTACAAATGCAACAATTAAATTTAAATTAACAAATTTACAAGACCTACCTACCACATTTTATTAGAATGTGCGCACGCTCAAGAACTTAACACACGCTTTCCTTTTCTATCTTATTGCACCTGTATACTTGAACCTGACCTATTATGCTAGATATGCTTTCCTATTTAACTATTTCTTGTCTAGGGCGATCTAGGTTAATATTATTCTAGGTATTCTTGATTTGTAAATTTGACCCTGAATTAATATATTATTTTTAAAGCAGTATTCTATTTATGTCATATTATTCCTGTAGCTGTTTTTGAACAAGCTGTGAGCTTATTAAAATAATATACAAATTAATCAAGCGGGCGTAACCTTCCTAATTGTTTTGGTATATTGACGGAAGAGTTCAGGAAAGTGGTTAAAAAGCGTAAACAAATTTCGCTTTCAATTGTTGCTTTTACTAGCACCTAGATTATTCTAACAAAAGTGAATCTACGGCATAATTAGCATTCAGAGAGCATTCAGAACTGGTTTACAACGTTTTATAACCTACAAAATAGGGGATTTAGTACCTGCATTTGTAGTGGCTATTTCCGAGAAAGGCACTGGGATTTCTACAGTTTCATTGTCCGTATTTATATCTAAATCAACATCCGATGTAACCACCGAAAGGGATGGCGTCGAGCTATTTTCCTCCTGTGCAATCGTAGAAACGGCAACAGAGCTCGGAACGCTTTGCGTCTCGTCGTGCATATTGTTTACGCGATTTCCCACTTATTCCGCAATGATAACCGAAAAAATCGCGCCCCAGAGCCTTGAAGAGCTCTGACCTTCAACTTCGCGCCAAGGTTCCACTAATTTCTATTTCTTTAGCTATGCAAAATTAAAACGATTTGTGAAATGTAGGTCTCTAGGCCACTTCTCTTACACTTTGCAGTCACTTATGACAGCAGACATGTCTTACACGTCAATGAAGCAACTGCTTTCATAACTGCATCAAGTCTTTCTTCTTTCTTATTTAACTAGGTTTTTGCCGCAAAACAATATAAGAAAGACTACATAAGCACTAGATAGTTAATAAATTGTCTAATAACTTTTAATCAAATTTAACTGGTGATTACTATGAAACAACTTTCTCACACAGAAGTAGGTCACTGTAGTAATCGCTTCAGAGTGTGATTACATAATTTAAAATATTTCTTTTAGCTTTTACTATAACATATCCAATGATTACTTTAACTATATATTTAAAAAAATGAATTGTTTATTAAAATTTTGAATCAATTCAGACACTATTTTGATTCCTCATTGCGCAATTCCGACCAATTCAAATTTTTGGCGGGCCGAGCTCATTTTTATTACCTAATAAAATATTAACAGTTGTGTTAATTTATGCTGTTTTCCAATAGCTGATTCTATTTAATTGTATACGTAGGAGAAATGTAAATGCAAATAAAATCATACAACACAAAAATTATTTTACTTTATTGAGTTTATTATAGTTATTGAATTCTCCTAGTTCATTTCACATGTATAAAAATATTTTAACAAATGTTTTATATTATTTTATAAAACGTGAACTAATTCACAATAATTAAAACATATAGGTAGATAATAAATGGGTAAATAATAGTTAAAACATAAAAAACAAATAAGTCTCCTAAGAATAAAAATACAATAGTATTTTCTTAAAAATAAAGTGTTTCATTATCAAAAAATAATAATTTATAAATTATCCTAAGTAATTCAGCTTAGTTCCTTAGCTCGGTCTGCAAGATGTCTTGAAATAATCAGTCTTTGAATTTGGGATGTTCCTTCATAAATCTGGAAGATCTTAGCGTCTCTCATCAGTTTCTCTACAGGGTATTCACTATTAAAACCATTGCCACCAAAGATCTAAAATAGAGACACATTATTAAAACTTAATTTATAAAAAAAAGCCAGCCGCTTGTTTCTATATTCCTTCCTAAGCAAAGCGTTAACGCGCCATCTCTTGGAATGTTAAGGCGAAACTAAAGATCAATCAATCATCTAGTCATCTATTGATTTTACTGCTGAGGGACAACTTGTAAAAGCTCAAGGCAAGTCGAGTCAGTTTTTGAATAAATGGTGAAGGCGCAAGAACTCGATCAGAAATATTTGTTGTATACTCTGTTTTTTTTCTCAGGTAAGATTTCGACAGACGATGACAGAAGAAAAGCAGATGACGTCCCATACCAATCTATTTATTTTACTAAAAAAAGTTTCTAATAATTTTTAAGTTAACTATGGATGGGTTTAAATATAAATCCGTCATGCGTCGTCTCTTGTTGTTTTTAACCAGTTTTATTGGTTTATTTAAAAATTGACAGATCGTATTTCAATTTTATTGGTTTGACAGAACGATGAACGACAAACGGACGCCGATGCGTATGAACTCGCCTTTAGATTTTTGACGCTTGTCAGTCTTGTCAAAGTATAGGTTATAATTTTGTGTCAACTTTTGTCAAATACCCGGCGTTTTGGAAGATGATGCATTTTGATTCGTGTTATTACGTGTGTTTTGTGTCTTTTGAAGTCAAGTGGAGGAAAAATCGAGTGAAAATTAACTGTAGACCCAGAGCACAGTTTATGGTTAATACTCGCTGCCCAGGCAGAAAGTCTTATACACCAATGAAGTTACCATCAGTAAAGTTCGTATACCATCTAGTCGTAGATAAGTGCATCTCGAATATGGTAGGAGGACCACACTAAACACACACTAAAAACTGGAGTAGCTGTAAAATATCGACATCACATGATAGGTAAATAATGGATTTTAGTACTGCAGAAAACTAATGTCAAAAGGTACTGGTTTAAAAAAAATTAAGATTAAAGTTAATTAATCAACCTTTAAGGTATAAAATTTGGTAAGTGTAATTATTAATGAAATAGTATGTTTTATTTATGTTGTTTTATTTATTCCTGTGGAATATTAAAAATATGTATTTGTACATAAGTTATATTGATAAATATAACTAAAGGCGAGTTCATACGCATTTGGGGTCGCACCACTCTGGCACTTTGTGCCATTGTATCGAATTTTTAATCGCGGTGCGATCCCTTTAGACACACATTTATTAATACTAATATTATTCTGTAAAACTTAATGGGGTCTAATAAAGAAATTTGAATTTGAATTTGAAATATAATCATAAATGCGGGAAGTTTCATAAAGCTTGAAAGTAAGAAATAGTTCTTTTTTATATTTTTCTGGTATGTGGTGTCTTGTTTGTTTTGTATTACATACCGTTTTTAATTAACATACACGTAACCGTTTTTTTATTAAATAAAATAACTCGATTACATTTTTTCAGTTTTATACAGTTTTTTTCACAATATTTTGAAGTAATCACTTGTCAGTCAAATTTTAAATATATTAATTTTCTGCTATGCGATGCGTTCCAGTTGTACCAACTTATTTCTTTGTAAAATAAAATAAACTATTTTGAAATTTAAATGACAGACACATCTATCACTGTCAAGGATCTTCTCGTTGGACAGACTATAGTAAGTGTTATTGTGTGTTTAAATATTAGGGACTCACGGAATCGGTAACAATATTTTCACACAAACCACCTTCAATGTCATTGCTATATTATATTCGTCCAACCAATCGCAATATATAGACTGTCCAACTGGTCCAACGAGAGGAAACATGACATTGACAGTTGTCATATGTCATCTTAATTGAAAAGCAGATTGTATTTTGTGTCATTTTTGGAGATCGTCTTTCAAAATGTTCCTTTCTCACGCTGAAAACACTACAGCGATCTTGTGTGGGTTGACAATTAATAAGTGATACCAAATAAACTTTTAGTTATGGTAGGAGGTAGGACTGGACATATTCGGCGCCAGGCTGACTAACTAGAATTTAAATTTCCCGCTGGCGATTCAGGTGGTAGCTCTGCTGTAAAAAATGTCAAGTTTTGTATTACGAGTTTTTGGTTTGAGTGAATTGTGTTAATTTAAGCTTGAAAAATTTTACTAGCAGACCTTGCAGTCGAAAATTGTTCTTTTTAGAACTGTTTTTAGTGAAAAGTGTACTCATCGCAAGCTTATTAGAATATTAAGAACGGGAAAGCGGTAATAATGGCCCTTTATGACCCTTAAGTGCTGTTAAGAAGGTGAGTTTTGATGTAAAAATAATAACCGTTTATATATTTTTATGATTAACTTATTTTTATTTCCTAACATATTTTGATTTAAAGGAAATACGTAAAAGTCGGCAACGTCAGTCAAGCTTAATCACGTGACTAAAAGTTGATTTGGTATGATCTATAGGTAAGTTAGTTAACATCTACTGAAGTAAACACTTCTAGTATCTTTTCTAATATACACGGATGTCATAAAACTTCATGATATGCCTAACTACCCACCTGTACAGCATCACTAGCACATTTGTTAGCCATATCTGCACAATATCCTTTGGCTATTGCAGCTGAGTAGCTGTTTCTTATTCCATTATCCGTTTCCCAAGCAGCTTTCATCCAAGCCATTCTACCAGTCTCAACACCTAAACAAATATTCAGATATATACCACCTGTATATTAAAAATTATTTTTTAATATAAACCTATTGCCATATCTGCCAACATAAAGGCAACAGCTTGATGATGAAAAATAGGAACACCAAATGCTTTGCGTTCAAGAGCATATTTGGATGCCTCATCCAAACATCTTTGAGCTAAACCAGTTGCTGAACAAGCCACCTAAAATAAAATTTTCTAAATTACATGAAAAAATTATTTATTGCTTTAATATTAATATAAATCCACACAACTTGGTGTACTGGATTATCTAATTGAATATAGTGCTTCTCATCTAACTATTCCTTGTTTCGACAGGCCTTTGAGCCATAGTTTATAATAACACCATAGTATAAGGAAACTAGTAGCTTTACTCCTTGTCAAATCCTTTGTTATTTTTCTGCCCTTTATATGACCTTGTTCTCGCGTCCCGTGACCACTGACGTAGCTGTATAGTCGTGGTCTATAACTAGGCAAAGTATAGTCGTGGCACTCGCCATATTTTCACAGAGATGTATTTAGGAAAATATGAGTTCACAATAAAATAAAATAAAAAAAATGATCATCCAGTAAAAATTTGCTTCAATACAGAATATTTTCACATTTCGTGTAAGTAACAATTATTATTCCTCTGTATCTGAAAATCTTCTAATGAGAAGAAATGCGGTAAAAATATATAATGACATATTTTTATATTATTATCTATTTCAAAGATTTTCTACAACTTTTTTTTTAATTTAAAACAATTTTTCGGTTCGGAACCCTAGTTACCATATTAACAAGAAATTATGTTTTTAACTAAAAACTAAAAAAAAATTTCAGATTTAAAAAAAAATGCGCAGAAAAATCCACATATTTCTAGGGCCAAAATATACTACCCCTAAAAATATTTGCACTTATTTATTACTCACCCTGTATAGGGCGATTCACGGTTATAGTAGGTTATAGCGTTTGCGGAACCGGAGATGTTTTTCGGAACTGGTAATTTCGGTACAATGCCTCTAAGGAACCGGGATTTCCAGTTTTTTTTCGGTACTTTCGGTACTAGCAGATTTTTGTTCAATGATGGTGCAGTTCGTTAAACAGCAAGCAAGGGATGGTTGTCAAAAGTAAAATCGATAAAAAATTTGAGGTTTAAATGAAAATAATATCAAATTATTAAGTAGTAATCAGTAATGAGAAAATTAACCTGAACACAAACATGATCACAAATGACTCTTAAAAAAAACGCAAAGAACAATTTTTTTAATTATTACTACAACCAGTAGCAGCACACAGTAAGGCACTCGTTTTTTGTCAATCCGTCTCTGTGCTGGGACGCAACGATCGAACCTCGCAGGTCGACGGACGGAACTCAACTGAAACGCTCTGCAATCTGCCGATATACGACAGATTGTAAAAACTGGCAGAAAATATTTGGGAGAGTGCAATTACTCTTTTCCTTCTACTATGATAACACCAATAAAACTATGATTCAATAGAAAAATACCTAGACAGTGGATAAAATGTGATCTGTGATAGATGTTGCAATAGGGATGTAATCAAAATATTTTATATTTTAAATATGATATAATTATATAATTAATATTGATATTTTATTACGTAATCTATTTATATGATCTATTTGAAACCAGTTTCCGCAGAATGGCATCGATGAATGAAACCGATCACATCGAAATTAATTAAATCAAATTGTTTAAGTGATACTTTCAAAAGACAATAACTCGGAAACGGTTGGTTTGAGGTACATTGTGTGTCTGAATTTTTGCTTAGAATTGAAACAGGAACCGAGATATGCAATAATATACAGGGAGTTCCATTTAAAAAAAGTGAAACTTTGATGTGCCACGACTTTATGACCGATCCTGTATACTTAAATTTATTACCCGCTAATAGATATTTAAAAAACCTATAACTTTTATATTTAACTTTTTGCGGTACCTCTTTCAAAAATAGATCAAATAAAATCAAAAATTATTTAAGTATCACTTATTTGTAAATAAATCGACGGTGAAATCGATTTAAAGTATGGATCGTTAAATAGAAAACAGTTTGATAACAGTATCATTACACTATTTATTATTTTAATTTGTATGTAAATTCAAAGGTATCTAATATTTAATTACAGAAAATGTACTAATTTAATGATAGATATTTTAATTAAAATTAAAAATTGTTTTTTTATCTAACAATTTTGAACTTTGTTACAAAACTCAATAGTTGTTCGTGAATAAGATTAAATTTAGGATGCTTTTAAAAGATTAACATCCACAAAATTATAAACAAAATTTTTATAATATTTACATTTCCAGATTGTTTGCTTTTCAGTTTAAACCTGCTTTAAACATAATATTATCATGTATCAGTTTCATATACACTGTAAAATAAATATAAAATAAATCAAAATACAATAAAATCATACTTACCGGTGGTCTGGTTTTGTCAAAAGTCTGCATAGCAATTTTAAAGCCATCACCCTCATTCAGAAGGACATTTTCCTTTGGTATTCTAACATCTTCAAATGTAATACCTCGTGTATCAGAAGCTCTCTGACCCATATTTATTTCCTGAAATATACTTATTAATGAGGAAAATATCTCTTTTTTAAATAGCCTTTACTTTTCTTCCAGGCGTCACACCGGGCCATTCTCTTTCCACAATAAATCCAGTGAAAGCCTTGTTTGCTGGACATTTTGGGTCCTGATTCGTTCTGGCTAATAAAAAGTACCTATAGGAAAGAAAATATACGTTTTGGAATATCAAAAATGATTTGTATTAGAAAAAATCAACACTAGTCACAGAATACAAACAGACATTTAAAAACCAATAAATAACTTATAATTAAATGTAATTTCTTGTTTTAGAATATAGGAGGGTCTCATACAGGGTGAGTTTCCTACGATGTTCTCTATGGGTATCTCGGAAACTACTGGAGATAGAGAGTCGGTTAAATGGTGAAAGAATTGCAGTTTTGTGGGGTCATAAATATGCGCCTTTCAGATTTTTGAAAAAGTTCATGGCTTACTAGATATTTCGAAAAACAAATTTTGGCTATTTTAAAAATCGTCTCTATTTTAGAGAAAAAGTTTTCAGATCAAAGTTGTAGATAATCACATCCTTAATGAAATTGTGTCCTCCGTTTTTTTCCAAATCCTGTCATTTTTGACATATGACACAAACATATGTTTTTTTTAAATGGAAACCATAGTTGACCATGACTTCATAAAAAGCGCCATTTTTTCAGCGATATAAGCTATAATATGTTTATCTTCAAAAAATTACTGAGTTATAGCCAATTCTTATCTTTCTTGGCTAATTTCACTTAGTTGGTACGGTATTTTATTCTGTTATGATTTATAATTTATAAAAAGACAGAATATTTTATTAAACGGTTCTTTACAATTTACCTTATACAAAATAAAACTTAAAAAAAACTAATATCACTTACACACACTTTAAGATAAGTTATTTTAGCAAACCAAACCAAAACCAAAACCGCCATCGTTTTGAGTGCATAAAATGCATCTTTTTAAAACTGAATTACAAGCTTTTCCCACAGAACGGCCGGTCGACTTTAATAAACTTCTCCTCTCCTAATTCATTCTTGCATTATGCCTCTCTTAATTCATAAGTTCTTTTGTAAACCTTGTTGTTAACCATACAGCATAAAAAAAAAATCTAAAATGGATTGGTCAGGTGATCGAGTAGGCCTATGCAATTAATCCACCTCTTTCTAAGGTTTCTAGGTTTCTCCCTAAGTTTGCAAAATTATGATATAAATAATTTTTAACATTTCTTTCATTATGAGGGGGAGTGTCATAATGAAAGCAATGTTGGAACCACTCTATTGATGCGCGAGTATCTAAATTTAACTTTTCTAAAAAACGTAAGTAACGTTCACCGGTCAACGTATCCTCGAAAATATATGGCCAAGAAAAGTTGAACCAATAATTCTACACACTTTTCTTCATTTGAAAAATTCATATTGACTATGAGATGTGACAGATTCACATTACTGAAAGCAACGACGCGACGATTAAACTTCTTCCCATGGCTAACTAAGTGAAATTGTTTAAAAATGATAAGAATTGGCTGTAACTCAGTAATTTTTCGAAAGAAGCATATTATAGCTTATATCACTGAAAACCTTAAAATATGGCGCTTTTTATGAAGTCATGATCAACTATGGTTTCCATCTAAAAAAAATATGTTTGTGTCATATGTCAAAAATGACAGGCTTTAGAAAAAAACGGAGGACACAGTCTCATTAAGGATGTGATTATCTACAACTTTTATTTGAAAACTTTTTGTCTAAAATAGATTATAATGGAATTAGGGACATTTTTTGAAATAGTCAAAATTTGCTTTTTTCAAAATATCTAGTAGGCCATGAACTTTTTCAGAAATCTGAAAGGCGCATGTTTATGACCCCACAAAACTACAATTCTTTCCCCATTTAACCGACACTCTATATCCAGTCTTTTCCACGTCCAGTATTTTCCGAGATACCCACAGAGAACATCGTAGGAAACTCACCCTGTATAATATATTTACTCATGTCTCATGTAGATACCAATAAGAAAAAAATTGTATGAAAACCTTTTTCTTTTGCAAAAAATAATAATTTGATTTTTTTGCATTTAAACCATACAAACCCAACCCTGTCATAATCTTAGGTCATAATGGAAAATTATTTAAAATATCTCATTTACCAGTTAGCTACACCTCCTCCTGTAATCCACATTTTTTGCCCATTTAAAATATATTCATCTCCTTTCTTCTCTGCCTTTGCTTTCAGACCGTTTACATCTGATCCTGCACCAGGCTCTGTTACACAATAAGCAGCCACCAAAGGTTCCTCAACAAGGCGACCTAAATACTTTTTTTTCTGTTCGGGATTCCCCGTAAGCAAAACTGGCGTTTGCTAAAACATGCATAGAATAAAGATAGACATAGGCCTAATTATTAACAATTGAAAAGTTGAAGTAAATAATATTCTAAGTGCCAAAATTTTGTGCTAAAATTTTTTGTTATATAACCAAACTTGACCAAACTATAAGAGTGGGGTCTCTGTTGAAATTTTTTTTCAATACAATTCAATAGCCATGGCACTTAGCGTTTTATATATGTTGTTGATTATGGAACTTAGGACATTTTACAAATAAAACATGACAGACCGATTTTTTGGCACTTAGAACATTATTTAATTCAAGTCTTCAATTAATCTATCGCAATCTTACCCCAAGTGAAGTGCCTTCTAATGCAGTAGCAATACCTGTACACCCATATGCAATTTCTTCTAGAATAACACTTGCATCAAACACACCCATATTTAGTCCACCTATAACAAAACAATTTCTATAATACATATTTTTTACAAAAATCTATGTATATTCTGATATGAGCTTACGAGCTTTGATATGTCAAATTACTTGAACTAGTTTCATTTTATATTATGTTTATTATACAATACTGTATTACCTAGTTCTTCTGGAATATGACAGTTAATAAGTCCTAAGCTATGAGCTTTTTTAAATAATTCCCATGGATATTCCCCCGTTTTATCCAGAACTGGAGCTGCAGGAATAACTTCATCCCTAGCAAATTTCCTGGCAGTGTCTTGAAATTCTCGTTGAGTTTCATTTAATTCTGCAACGTATTAAATGAGAGATACAATAAAATAACTTTCATTTTTGCCTTATTAAAGTACCAAAATTAAACCCGTTGGCTATGCTCCCGGAATAATTTCTATTCAATGTGAGTGGTCGCACACTGGCTTTGACTAGTCCCTTTGCAAACTAAAATAAGTAATTTATTTATATAAATTATTACTTAGGAAAACGTGGAATAACTATAATTAATTCATACCTGAGAAAATGCCATAATTAATTTATTTAAAATACCTTATATTTAATTATACAAGGTACCAATTAATTCAACGAACTAGGTAAGAAACAAAAATAACTGAATCGAACTGAATGAACCGGACCATAGACCTCAGCGAACTTTGAGTTATAAAATCCTAAAATTATAAACAGAAAATCAATTTAGCTAAAAACAATCTGTAACCTTTGGACTTTAGACCCCTCACCTCCCTTCAACAACCTTGTTTACCACATTGTTTACCATCTTGATGTCATCTTGTTCATCTTGTTTACCTATTTCTATGAATCATATATAATCTGAACTTTATATACGATCTTTTAGTGACGTCATATGTGGCATTTTATTTTGTTCATGATAACCGAACACCACGAGAACTTGCCTAAAATGCCATTTCACAAAAAATTAAATTCAAATGTCACCTTGTCACCTGTCAGGAGTGTCAATTGTCAATTAAAAAAGTTGTGGAGCGGCAAGCCGGCGAGAAGCACGTTTTCCTCAAATATCAATTTCTCAATTCGCAATGAATTCAATCTTTAAAGTGGCTTTACGAGTCAATAATTTAAAAGGTTTTATCAATCCAGTAAGATGTGGATTACTAACCAGCAGTACGCAAAAGGTTACTACTAGGAATTTGTGGCATTTAAGTAATAAATTACAAGTCAACCCCAAAACATACAATGACTTTGGTTCATGCAATTGTGGCAACGTGAAATATGTTCATACTAAAGGTACGTACTAACCGTACACTATCTTGTGTCTGAAAATTCTTATGTTTGTTTTTTAGCTGAAAAAGAACTTGTTGAATTTCTTACTGAGGAGATTCTTGCTGAACGCAAAGCCCAGAAAGTGAAAACCATTCCCACAGAGATAGACGGATTTAAAGCAAATTTAAACGGAGCTGAAGTTACTCTGACCAAAAAGACTGATACAGAAACGTATACATTTTCATTTATATAGATCAATTTTACATTCAAAAAAGTATTTTTTAGAATTAAAATAAGTTTTAATGTAAATCACTCAGTAGATTCTGATGCGGAACCAGAAATTAATGACAGTATGGATAAACCTGAAATCGGAGAACTAAAGTCAAAACCAGCATTTAGGATTGACTTTTCACGGGCAGATACCAACATCAGTATTTTGTGCTCTTTTGTTGCTCCAAATGAACAAGATGATGGTTACAGTGAGTTTTAACACATATAAGACTACTTATTGTAAAAGTTTTCTTTTAGATGATTCATTTGGTATAGATGAAGTTAGTATTTATAATGGCGAATGGAATGAAAATGTGTATTCAGTGTCGGGAGAAGTTCTAGATACGGTAAATATATTATTTTTAAAATTAAAGAACTAAGAAATAAAATTTAAAGTAATCTTATTATTTTAGTATTTATATGATCTGCTTTTGAATTATTTGGAGGAAAAAGGAATCAGTAATGAATTTGTAGAGAAGCTTTCAAATTATAGCACAGCTTACGAACATTCAGCTTACATAGGTTTATTAGAGGGTTTATCTAAGTTTATTGCTGGAAAGTAAAGTAGAATTAGTTTTTATTAATAGGATATCAATATGTTTTAAAAAGCTTTATTATAATATTTAATTCTTAAGTTGTTCCATGTTTGTTGTTATTATTTTTGGACATCTCATTCCTGTTGTATTTTTTTTTTGTAAAAGGAAATAAATTTAATTAATTAAAACTAAAATTATTTTATTCTTCATATAAAATAAATAGTCATAATTAGGTATATTTATAAATAAACAATAAAATTTAGTAATAAAAATTATATCATATTATCTTTAACAGGTGGCTTATGTGCTAAATATAAAGTCACTATGCTTCCTAAAGCACTCACTAGGAAAATTACATCAAACCATCTATGATAGAAGTTGAATTGTAAAGCACCTACAAACATATTAATCCGTTTCAGTAAGAGTTAAATATTATATTGTTAAAAAATCTTGACTAAGCAGTTCTTTGTATCCCAAATCTAGTCTGCTTACCTAAAACTTGTGTAATTATAATTCTGTATTGTACTGGCATATTCATTCTCAAAAGTAGTACAGATGAGACAAAATACATTCCCATTATTTGTGCCAATACTAAAACTATAATATTGGAGCTCTTACTAGAAGACATTCTATTGAAAAACTAAAAAAAAAAAAATTGGAAAATGGACATTTTTATATTAAAAAAAATTCAATATTTACTTTTGTTAACGTGAGTAATAATCCTCTTATAGATGTAACAACAATACATCCAACGAGATAAAAAGAAATTTGCTGAGACCAAAAATTCACATCAAAATCAAAACCCATCCAATGAACTGCAATTTCGATTCCTCTAGTTACAGGATCTTTTTTACCAACCCTGTCAAATACAATATTTATTGTACACTAAAAATAATACATTAAACAAATTTGCTATAATAGTTGAAGTGAGAACATACAATAAATATTTTCCAGAGACAGTATCCAGAAAAAATATATCCCAGAAAATTGAAATATATGCCTTTCCAAGTTTTTGACCATTCAATTCTTTCCAACATATTACGATTTTCGTGAGCCTCTAGGAAAAGTTGCCTACTAACTTCTTCTAAACCATCAATCTCTAATTTTAATTGATTTATATCTAAAATTTAGAAAAAAAATATTTACCAAGAAAGAACAACCACTAACAAAATCTATTGTTTCTTCAATTTCTATTTTTAATAGGTAATTAATTATAAACAGTGATGGACAAACACCTGGTATATTGAATTTAGGATTGTGGACATGTCCATTTATTTACATGTTCATGTAACTAACTGATATCCCAATAATCTTTGTATTAATATAAGATTAAAATACTGAAATATTTACTCTCATTCTCCCTTGTTCCAGTTACAGAATACAGCATTCCCCACAATCCTTTTTTACTAGCCGAATTAACTTTTTCTTGTGAATATTGTTTTTTTATTATGGCTATTCTCTTCTTCCTAATCACTATCATATCCATTGTTTGTATCAGTCTTTTTTCAATATTCAAAACATCAGCTTCAGACACATCTCTAAAAATAATATGGTACATTTAATTTTGAAATTAGTATTTGGAAAAGTTCTTTAACTAATCTGATTATATAAATATTCATATTCAAGCATTAGATTTGATTACCTCATAAAGTATTTCATAGATGAGTAGGGATAATTCACAGCACCAAAACCAGACAATAATGCCATAACTGTTACACCTATAACACCAATTCTAGAAACCAATGATTCTATGCTAAAAAAGTTTTGATTTGGATGATTTATAGGGAAAGGATCACCAATTTTCCAAAAGATAGCTAGGAAAATCAACCATGTAAGCAGTGTAAGATGTTTTATGTAATCAGGCCTTACTAAAATACATAATTCAATTACTTTATTCAGTTTTTATCTTTGCTGTATTACCATATCTAATATTGCTGATACAATAGTATCCAATATAAAAAGGATTCAGTACTATCACAACAAATAGTAATAAATAAAGCATCAAGTACCAATAAAAGTATCTAGAACTATTATAATATATCATATTACAGTGTAAATTAAAAATAAACATATTTTTACCTAGAATCGAGGAAATCTAAAATTTCAAATATAATAAGCTCAAACATTGTACAGGACAATGTAAGAGTAATACTAAAAATAAGTTGAACCATTACATGACGCACTTCATAATCTTTAAACAATTTTTTCATGAAAAATATCCATGCCCCAACGAAGAAAAGAACCTAAAACAGATTCATTAAAACAAATTTTTGTTTAAAATATTTGAACAATTTAATTACTTGTGAAGAAAAAACCACTGTACTGTCGAACAAGAAAGTCATTGTTAAAATTTGTTGTTTTCATTACTTTCATCAATATTTTTATTAAATAATTTCTAAAATATAGCCAGATCTGTTTACAATTTACGATAATTTTTCAAAAATTAATTTGAGGTTAGAATACACGTCAATCAAAACGGATGTCAAAACGTCACTGGCATTTAGTAGTGTCTGGTAGTGTTTATGGAGTTGCCTATACCATATTTAAACATAAAAATACGAGGGTAGTCTGGGAAGTTTTTCAACCTCAAAACTCAGAACCGTATTTTTTTAGAAAATTCACTTCTCCTAACGATGCTCTCATCTTATCCACCCGTCGAAATAGTAGTTGATCTAATAAGATTTCTGATTTGTTTAGGTATAATGTCTCTCAAAAATAACTATTTAAATACTCCTTTTTGACTGTTTGCTTTTATATTTTTTTACTTTCTATAGTTGGGAGATAAATTTAATTTTAAATAAGGTGACTTTAAACAGAAACATAAAACGGATACATATTTTGTTTGAAAAAATAAGAGAATTTTTTAAATATATATATTTATTTAAAATAATATAACTACATCATAGATTGTCTTTAAGAAACTAAAAATAATTACACATTATATAAATTTGGCAGATCAAAATATGTCCAAATAATTTCGCTATATATTTGATATCAATTAAACTTTTAGTTACATAATCGAGGGCGCTATTTTTAAATTCATTGTTGCCAACCATGGACATATTTGGCCCCGGGCTGGGGATTCAGGTGGTAGCTCTGCTGTAGAAAATGTCAAGTTGCCACACGTTTACTAGCAGACCTTGCAGTCGAACATTGTTCTTTTTAGAACCTCTTTTAGTGCGAAGTGTACAAGATAGCTAGAATATTTTGAAAGGGAAAGCGGTAGTAATGGCCCTTTATGTCCCTTAAGTGCTGTCAAGAAGGTGAGTTTTGTTGTAAATAATAACTGTTCATATATTTATAATTAATTTATTTTTGTTTCCTAAAATATTTTGATTAAAAGAAAATATGTAAAAGTGGGCAACACTGTGCCGATCACGTGACTAAAAGTTTATTTAATACGAACTATATGTCTAACTGAACTTATCTAGGCAACACATAGTTTTTCGTCATATTTCTTACAAAGTAAAACAACCCTCCGTAAAATTTTCAAACCTAATAAATATATTTAGTACCTTTTGTATACATATTTGAAATATTTTTATTGTTTTTATATATATCACAGCATAACATATACACAACATTTAATATACATAGATATTTTTTAAATATATATTTATCTATTAATAATTTCATGGTCCTTTATTTTCGTTATGAATATATTATTGATAACAAAAATTGTCTAATTATAAATAATAAATTATATTAAATTATCTAACCGACACTACGTACCTACTAACTGATTAAACTTATAATTACCTACTAATAGTTCCAATGTGTTAGAAAATAAAAAAGCATTTAAAATTATATCCACAACCTTCTTGATGCATTGTTTGTCAGGATTAAAATATAAAATTAAGAAATTATAAATTAATACATTTCTACCTATTATAGATGCATTGTATAACAGTGTTATGATATAAATGTCTTTAGGTAAATAAATAATTTACATGTAAAATACCTTCTTATACTACTTAAGTTTAATAATAAGTAACTATAATATATCTCTAAAGACAATTATTTGTAAACTGTATGTAATTACTCAATTTTTTATAGTATATCCTAGCTATAACTATTTCCGTTAATTGGCAGTATAATAGAAGAACGAAATATTAAAACAATAACAATTTTTTACACAAATAATAGTATGCTGTAAACCTTGATTTAGATATTCACTGGCAAGAACTGTATTATAAAATAGAACAAATTACGGTATCAGAGAAAAAAATCAATTTCAAGGTTTAGAATGTTTATAGAAAATAATAATTAATATTTACTTATTATATAGAAGCTTATTCTAAGAAGATCTGATTGACGAACAATTCTAAAATATGGAAAATTTTATTTATAAAACGCAAAAGTATTAATTAATGATTTTTAAATCATATTAACATAATATATATATGTCTATATATTAATATTTTATTAAAACATTGGAGCTGCATTTAAATAACGGTATTTCATACTATAATATATTATGCACTCGTATTTAGTTGGATTTATCACTAAACCATTTGAAATGTATGCTTATTATTTATAAATTTGCGTTCATTATATGTTTTTATCTAATTAATGCTTATTTAGAAACATAATACACTGTGTTAAAAGAAAAAGGATTGAAAAAAAAAGAGTGTAGCTGTATCGTCAATCAGAACTCTGACATAAAAATACAAGTTCGAGGCATTTTTAGTTTTTATTAAATATATTATATTCTTGTTCCTCTTCAGTTTCCAAGGGCCAGTTTTAAAAACTCCTCTCTAGTTCTTTGATCGTCTCTAAATACACCCAACATGGTCGAAGTTACTGTCTTGCTATTGATCTTTTGCACTCCTCGCATTACCATACACATATGCCTGAATTACAAAAAGAAATTAAATTATAAATCAATAAATTAATGATTGATAATTTGATTGATAACTGAAAAAAACTTGTTGGAGTTGTAAGGTTTTACATGGCGATACAGGTAAAAAGACAAGTCAAGAAAACCTTATAACTTCACTTTTTTTAATGGAACGAAACTGATAAAATGTCCTTTCCTATTTCAAATTCATATGGTTTGTCTTTATTTGCGCGAATTGTTTTTTGAATTATTTTGGTTTAACGAATGCAACCGTTACCAGATGAAATGCTTATTCTACTTTGGAGAGTGTACTCTCTCTTTTGTGTCAGGGGAAATCAGAAAGATCCTTTGCTTCCTATTTCAAATAAAACGTATCAAAATGGACTAGGGGACAAATAATGTGAAACTGATGTTTTGGTAAATAAAATAATTTTAAGCTCTAAAGCTTCATTCAGAACCTCGCAATTAGTGGTTTCAATTATACTTTATACTTTTTAGTGTACGATCATTCACAATGTGTAAAAACACAATTAAAACTAACAGAATATATTAGCAAAAGCTTTCAGTAGTCAGTTGTCTCCATAGAGAAAGCCTAATTATTTTTCATCTAAAAATTGCATTGCATTGATTTTTCTGCAATTTTTTATAAATAACTGGAAAATCTTGCGTTTTATCGCGAAACTCATATAAAGCAAAAATGAAGCTTTTGGAATAACGAATCGATTCATTTTGTGTTGTTTACCATCATAGGTGTAGTGGTAGCCGAGTATCACCCTGTAAACTTGATTCTTTAATTTTGGAAAACTAAATTGCAACCTTTTACAGTAAAATAATGGCGAAAGAACACATTTTTCGAAGAAAATGAATATGACCGTTTTTAAAGTGCATGAAAAGACCTTTTAAATGTCTTTTTTTAAAGGTCTTTTCAAGTTCGTAGCTTAAAAACTGGCGGAGTTATGATAAAAATAAAATGGTCACCTCATTTTTTCGGAAAAGAATTAACAACAAAATCTATAACTAAAATCATAAAAATAAAAAAACTATCAATTTGTAGGAAATTACACGAGCTATAAATTAACCTCTATAGTTGAACAGTCTTGAACTCTTCATTTTCACGAGATTTTTGGGTTTTAAGGGCTCAAAGAAGGTGGTCCTTAAATGCAAGTCAAACTAAAAAACGTAATATCTACGATATAAAGAGATCTACAGAAAAATTAAAAGGGAGCAAAAATATTGCAAAAAAAAGACCTTCAATTTTCCTCTGTAGCATTTTTTAATTATCTTGCTTAGTTTTTGAGATATGTCAAAAAAATTAAAATTTTTTGAAAAACAAAAAATTATTTTTTTTCATTATTTTCAACCTATTTCCAAATTTAGGCATTCTAAACCGCTCGAACTTGTAGAGTCAATTGCTAGTACCTAAATATAGCCAAATGTACATGTATTACGCTTAGTTTTTATTTTTATGATTTTAGTAATAGATTTTGTTGTAAATTTTTTTCCGAAATAATGAGGTGGCCATATTATTTTTATCATAACTCCGCAGGTTTTTAAGCTACGAACTTTTTTGCAGAAAGCATTTAAAGGTCTTTTTTTTAAGCACTTTAAAACGGTCATATTTATTTTCTCCGAAAAATGTGTTCTTTCGCCATTATTTTACGGTAATAAGTTGCAATTTAGTTTTCAAAAAAATAAAAATCAAGTTTACATAATGATAACTCGGCTATTATTACACCTACGGTAATAAACAAAAAATGGATGGCTTAGTTTTCCAAAAGCTTCATTTATTTTTGCTTTATGAGTTTTGCGATAAAACGCAAGGTTTTGAGTTACCTATTTATATGCAGTTGGCAAAAAATATGCAACATTTTCAACCTTAAATAACTAGGAAAATATTAATTTTCTGAAAAAATGTTATAGAACATTTTTTGCTTAGAATTCATCCCTTTATTGATTTTTGTATTTAAAATGGGTGACTTATTTTTCACCCCCGAGAAGGTGTGGTACTCACCCCCAGAGTGAAAGCACACATCGCTACTATGTAACTTTTGTTTCTTACATATATCTCTATTGACTGTTACAATTTCACGTCAATCAATATTCAAAATTCGGACACTAAAACTGTGCTAAAACCCTCGCTTATTGGCCTGTTGGTACGTTTAAAGTTTATTACTAAGTACCTCCAATCTCCAATAGATAACCCTGTCGATATCGCACTAAATATCTTTGAAAACTCTCTTTTAATATCAAAAATAAGATTTGCCTAGCAAGAGATAATTAAATATCTGAAAAATATTTTTATTCGTAATTGCCACTTACTTATTTACACTCGGTATATTATCTATTAATACATATTTAGAGCACCACTTACGTTCCCTCTATAATCACGGCTACACCATTAGGCTGAACCGCCTTTAAAACTGCCACAGCAATCTGTTTGGTGAGTCTTTCTTGCACTTGAAGTCGCCTGGAAAAGATTTCCACGATCCTAGCCAATTTACTTAGACCTAGCACTTTACCGGAGGGTAAATATCCGATAGAGACTTTTCCGTAGAACGGCACTAAGTGATGCTCGCACATGGAGAACATCTCGATATCTTTCACTACCACCATCTCGTCGTGGTCTTCGTCAAAAATTGCATCATTTAAGACCTCTGAAATAGAGAAATATTAATCAATAAAAAGGGCTTACTTCTTATTCCAATAATTTACAGAGTGTTCAGTTATTAATGAGTAAATCGAGTAGGAACTGTCTTGAAATGCGTAGAGTGCGTAGAGTTCTCATTGTACTGTACGTCTACTGGAGCTGTGTCTATGAAATGAATTTCAAGAATGCAGACAGAATTTTGGAGCACGATCAATTTACTACAAACACATTTAAATAAACAGCAATATATTTTATAGATCGCTACCTATATACAAGGTGTTTCAAAAAACATGTGCCATGTCTCACGTAAAAATAAGATTTATTTTTCATATCAACATAGGTCCGATTCTGCTTTGTTTTGTAGGTACATGGTGTTAAAGTTTTAATATTTTTTCGATTTATTATAATTTTCTTCTAAGTACCTTTAGAGTTTCGAATGAAATTTTGAAAATAAAATTTACTATAAATGCGAAATATTTTAAAGCTAAAAAGTGTCAACATATTTACCAGGGACGTGATATGGGTTATCACTGAATACTTTTACGCGTATACGCCACTGACTTTTTTTTCTCTTGTTAGCGAAATAGTGTAAGTAGTTTAATGCCGATTAAAAGTTGTCCCTTGATATTTTGCCGATTTCAGCCTCCTTGATGAGATAACGCAATTTTATTAATATGCCTTGATCCCAAGTCTAATCGCAACCTTAAAAAATTAATATCATTAACTTGCGAAAGTTTTAAATAAGTACTCATGGATTCCTCATCAAAAATATGAAAAAAAGTTTCTATAATCATGGGTATGGAAATGCATAGTTTTAGAATTACAGGATGTTAAAACTTTTTATAATTAGGTTTTTTGTAATTATTTTAAATACCAATATTTTTTTAATTGAAATTGCTGTAGGTTCGATTAATAATAACTAATAGTATCAATATTTAATAATAAATTAGGTAAAATATATAATTTATTAATTTTATTTTTATTTTGGTTTTATTGTGATTAGTAAAATTGTGTTTATCTCATCAAGGAGGCCGAATTCGAGAAAATATCAAGAGATAACTTTTAATTGGCATTAAACGGCCTACACAATTTTGATATCAAAAAGAAAAAGTCAGTGGCGCACATTTTTTTGAAAAATATTTCAGTAATAACCCATATACACGTCCCTGATAAATTTATCGATACTTTTTTAGCATTAAAATATTATTAGCACTAACAGTAATTTTTACCCCCAAAATTTCATTCGAAACGCTAAAAGTACTTGAAAGAAAATTATAATAAATCGAAAGATTATTAAAATGTTAACATCCTGTAGCTACAAACAAAGCAGAATCGAGCCTACGTTGATATGAAAAATAAATCTTATTTTTACGCGAGGAATCTCCCCACGAGAGATAGCACCTGTTTTTGAAACACCCTGTATACGCGGCAGAGAGTCCACGTGGACTTGACGAGTATGTCACCGCAATACACACTCATTACATTGGCTACTTGCAAATTTGTCGAATTTTTATTGACGGGACGCATCCTCTAGTTCTGTACGAGAAAGATCGATTAAAAACGGTAGTAGCACAGATTTTAGTAGACCGAGCTTGGAGAACAATGCAGTCGTTATCGGTAAAATAGTTGCGAGATTTTATTAATTTTTTATTGTTTTTCTTCTTAATTTTTGTAAATTAAAAACGTTGAAAAGAATTTAAACTGATTTGGTATATTTGAAATTTTTATATAAGTAAGTAATGTTATTTAAAATATTTATATCATGCCCATGAATTGCAAAAAGAAAAATAATGTTTTTACTAAGTGGGTACCACATACTTGCTATTTCGAGTCAAATTTTCGTTATGCTCACCAGCCATAGACACTCTAGATTGAATTTAAAGTTCTATTTTCTTTAAGCGATGTCTCAAAGTTAAAACATGAGATATCATTCTATTTAGAATGTCATTTTCTATCGAATAAAGTAAAAAAAATATTTAAAAAATCAACAGCTGCAGTCATTTCCGGTAAAACAGGAAGTGACCGAAAATAATTGAATACGTCCATGAATCCTGATTTATGTCATATACTAACCTACAAACTCTCGTTTTTTTGTGTTTGAAAAAATACACTCGCTATTCACATAAAATAACAACGCCCTGTAAAGACCCTTTCAATAAATTGACCTGAATAATTCCGTAACTAGTAGATAATGCTAATGGTTTTTCGTGCAAAGATTTCGAACTTGTTGCCTTAACAATCTCGCCAAGATAAATTCACCCTTAATGGCCCTGGGTTAAAGTGGGTCACCGTTACCAACCACAAAGCCAACTCGCTTTTGAGCCTATCCAGCGGAAAAGCCATCTCTTGGATTCCGGCGGTCGGAAAATTACTTTTACCGTCGCCGGAAGCATGGAAATTCGAGGAAATTGCCCAAATGCGCTTATCTTGTCTTATAGTTGCATGCGCCTTTGAGTGTTTTATCATCTCTAATTGGCTGATCTTTCTTGTATTTTAATAGTTCTTATTTTTTCGTATACTGAAAAAAAATTTTAAATCCCTTATTTTTATTTATAATATTTATGCTTCTTATTTACTTTCAGAATGAAGTATCACATCAATGGTTTGAAGTAAATACAGAATTCAAGTAAATAAATATCTGTTGCTTTGATAATGGCGAGAAAAATATTTGAGAGTTTAAGAAATTTAGTTGCATCTTTCTGATGTATTTATTTTGATTAAAGTGAAATTTATATAGGACAAATAATGAGTTGTTCTATTGAATTTCAATTTTTTAACTAAAATAACGTATTATTTAGCCTACAAAAATAATCCGTACCAATACTTGTTCACAAAGACTCTAGAAAACTAGTTCACAAATAGCTTGAATTGTCTGCTTTAATATAAAATATTTTAGTTTCTAATACGAAATGGTGTAGTTGGTTTTAATATGGTTTTTTAAAATTATTTTGCAAAAAATTATGTCAGGCCAAATCTTCTGGTGTATGTGGAGCTAATTATCTATAAAAACTGCTATAAAAGATTTATTAGTCTTTTGATAAAACACGCTTTTAGATGTATCAAAAATTTGTTTTAAATGTTTTAAGAAACTCTTGAAAAAGGCCTAATTTTGTCTCAAATGAGAATATTTAATCTAATCAAGTCCGCAGACCAAAATACGAGAGTTTAGTCCGTGAAAGGCCATGTCCGCAGGCCAAATCAGCAGGTCGCATCTTCTGGTGTATGGGGGGCTAATAAGCTACATAACACGAAGCAAAATATTCCATTTATCGCCAAAAATATCGAGGAATTGTTCATTAATATAACATTAGGTCAGACAAATGCAAAATACAAATTTTAAGAGAAATAAATGAAGAACTTGCTATAAATTCCCTCTGTAAAGGGTTAAAAAATAACGAACTTTGAACTATCAAAAAGGTGTATTCGAGCAGTATTTAATTTGCGTTATAGGGATAGTTGTAGAAATATATTTGGAAATAATAATATTTTGACAATTCCCAGTTTGTATAGGCCTCTGTATAGGCATATTATGGATTCTTTTATGTTTGTACATTCAAATAGAAATATGTTGATACTATTGATAATGATGACACAAGGCCAGTGGCGGACTAAGCCGGTCGGGGGCCCGGGGCGGCGAAGCTAAATGTGGCCCCCGGTCTGTTCAGATAACGATATACTTCTAATGCACATTTTGTAAAAAATCAATGACGTACGTATAATGGTTGACAAAATTCAGGTATTTATACAGGTTGTCCCAGGCTGAGCCTGCATAGAAGTTTCTAGAGAACTACAATATCTATATCCGAGATTTTTTGCATATCATTGTTTCAAATGAGATCTATCGATTAAAAATATTTTCAATATGGCGACACTTCCGGAAATACCGGGAGTTGACAGCAACTTTCTTATTTTAAATGGGTGCCCCCATTTTTTATTACATACTTAAATTTTATGAATTTTGATATTAAACACTGTATACTTAACGTTAACCGTTTTTGAGAAAAAAATATAATTTTATAATTTTTGGAGGAAAAAAACTGCTTGTCAAAAATATGTATATAGCCTAAACGTCAAATTTGGTGATTGCCGCAGCAACTGTACCATAAAGAGAAGACATGTGGCTATCTATTTCAAAAAATAAATTGTCCGAATGTCATATAATAATGCTCGCAGCTGTCATGGAATTGAGCGATTAAAAAATTATCGTAAATTATTTCTTTCAAATGAAAATCCACTTTTTTTATTTCACTAGTGAAAAGGTTTTCCAATTCGTTAGTTTTTGAGTATACATGTTCCTGTACCTAAAATATATCGTTTTTAAGTTATTTAAGATTTAGTTTTAAAGCGTATATTTTTCTTGATTTTAACCAGTAGCCTATGACAGTATATTATCGATAATCATTTCCAAGCCAACTATGCGCTGTTTTTTTTTCGATCATACGGTATATTATTAAAATATCAACTATTAGATATCACAGGATATCACTAAAGAGCGAAAATACGAGATATATTTATATAAATACACTTTTTAAACTTTTAAGCAGCAGTATTTATAATATAGGAAATTCAAATAATTCGTTTTCTGACAGATGGATAAATTGTCTGACTGTTTGACACTTATGTCAAAGAAAGCTAGATAAAATCAAGAAAAATATACGTTTTCAAACTAAATCTTAAATAACTTTAAAACGATTTATTTTAGGTATAGGAATATGTATAGTTAAAACGTAACGAATTGAAAAACCTTTAGACTAGTGAAATAAAAAAAAAGTGGGTTTCCATTTGAAAAAAAATATTTATGATAATTTTTTAATCGCTCAATTCCAAGACAGCTACCGCCTTTATTATATGACATTTGAACAATTTAATTTTTGATTTAGATAGTTACGTCTTTTCTTTATGTCACAGTGGCTGTGATAATGACTAAATTTAACTTAATTTTGACAGGTAGTTTTTTTCGTCCAAAAATTTTAAATATTTTTTTCTAACAATGTTTAACATCAATAT